TTACACATGAAATACATATGCATTATTTATTCTCAATGTATTTCCAGAATTTTACATTCTTGCAACAAAATGCTGTACAATGGGAAAACGCTTACAAGAATGTTGAGCTTCCCATTGAACAAGGACGAAACAGTATCCCCTAACCTCTGACGATCGGCTCTAGATGACACATCGCAAACTGACCCAGTGACCTGAAAAGACTCCTCACCATCTTTCCATTTCTTCAAACAGCTGCAGAGCTCAGCGTCGTTGCGGGCACACGTATGCACGGTGGCTCCAAGCCCAGCCAATTCCTCCACAATAGCATGCCTTGCTACACAATATAGACACAACCCACATCTCAAAATCAAATCTTTCAAACAAATTCGACAAACTAAATACGAAAAGTACGATGAGACAATTTTATATATGAAGCTGACCCGATGCCCCTGGTGCCACCGGTGACTAGAGCAGTCATGCCCCCAAGGGACCATCTGGAGGCCCTGCTTGATGGAGGCAGGTAGCGCTGGATGCTCTGAGTCCAAGACATAAGCAATTGGCGACTGAGGTTTTTGTACCTGAAGGAGTTGAACAATGTAACGTTGGTTGTGGCATCGAAGGTGGAGAGGATGGGTTTTAGCGGTGGAGACGCTGCTTGGCACGGTTGTCGGACTAGTAGACTAGTAGTGTACATTTTTCCAGTTCTCTAATTGAGATTTACTGTAAGACCTGTGAATACAGTAATAAAAATGCGATTAACATGTCTGCACAATCACATTTTAACCCTTAGTTCTTTAGATGAAGCAAATAATCACTCCTTACGGATGGGCAGGCCATTTACTTATTGACACAAAAGATTTTTCCATAGTCATAAAAATTGCGAATATGGATGTCGTCAGATCTGGACCTAACACCAAACAATTTGTGAGACCCAAAACCAGTTGATTGTGGGCTGCCTTCGAGCTTAGGATGCCGAAATAGATACACTGGAACAGTAACTTTGGAGACCAAAGCTAGTATTAACCCTGAATATGATTAATTAGCTTTAACCACTCTGAGTTCAAACATTTCTAAGATTCTTCTCTTTTTATTATTGTTAATTTTCTTTGTTCTCAAAGGGTGAGCTACTCTGGATTAATTTGATCACTTTTCCACCGATCCCTATTATACCTTTGAAGATTTAGAGGGGAGCTACCTGCCATCTTGAAATGATCTAACACTGCCACAAATTTTGGACCTCCTAATTGCTGCCCTCTGACATTTTTTTTTTTTTTGGCATCAAGGTACATATATCTAGCGCAAACTAGTTACAAACAGTCCCTAAATTTAAAAACTAGAAAAGAAAAAGAAAGAGAATAAAAAAATTCAACAACATGCATTGAGAACATATTTTCCTAAAGTCTTTGACGTACTGAACTAGTTGCTCTCTTGCAGTTAGCTAATACTATGTGAATCACTGAGCTTTGGCTTGGCCACAAAGACGGACCTAAGTTTCTCTTTTTAGCTTGTAGATCGAGGGTTTAAATTCTACCTGTAATGAAAAAATTTTAAAAATGATGTCAGAGCATCAATTTAATCTAATTAGATCTGTATACCTTCGGTTGACAACTTTGTAAGCAGGGAAGCATGGTACTTACTGAGTTGTGTCCTGTGACCTTGAACGTAACCATCCAACAGAAAATTCCAACTTTCACCACTTTTTGTGGTATTTCTTCTGTTTTAATCTACATACTCTCGTGTATATATGATCGTCAGTAAATTCAGATTCTACAATTCTATCTTTTTCATTCCCAACCCCAAGTACTAGAAACCTCCTTAGAAAAAACTACTGGGACTGCGCAGATTTTTTTGGCGTAAGGTATTACGTACTCCTAAATCTGAAAGGAGAATACATGTATAGTTTTATCAACAGTCAGGCGCAAGTTTTGACACTGACGGCTTTTGTTCGTTAGTAACCATGCATGTTATTGTAGGTTAAGGTACTGCAGTACACGAATCTTGCATTAAAAGATAAAGCTGAAATGCCAAAAGAAGAAAGTATATTAAAGAAAATGAGTCATTGTTGAAGAGGTAAACGCCATGAAAATTTGTAATGAAATCTTTAATTAAGCGTGAAAAGTTCTAGATGCTTGAGGATCATTCTATGTTTTCTGGTCAAACTGTGTCTAATTAAACTTTTCACGAGGATGAGGAAATGGTTTAGATTATTTTAATTACACGACAATCTTTTAGAGTCGGAGGTCTTAATTTGATATTTTTTGAGCTTCAATTTTGGACTTTATTTATTTTTTAAAAAATTTATTTCAAGGCATTACGCACATCTCAGTTATCATTTCTCGAGACCTACTCGAGGACGGAGTACTACATATTGCTGCACTTGGTTAGGACAGAGCAAGATTGTACTGATATGCAACTAAATTAATTAACATGAGTAGAGTAGTATGACAACGTACTATCGTTTAATTCTAGTTAATTAGCTGCTAAATCTGATGATCAAGTGTCCGACTTCGCATAAGTGGTACTTTTGCAGACTTGGATTAATTTTTAATTGGAGTATAAAATATATGGCTACGATTGATGGATTTGTTTTTTTGCTGATAGTTGTTAAGTCACAAAAGGTCAGCACCACATTAATATAGCATTACTGTTATTTACGAACCCTGTTAGTACAGGAAGTGGATGATTAACTGCATGTTAGAAAATGAAACTCGTCAAGTTGTCTTTTTTTTTTTTTTGGTTTAGAAGACAAAAGGGAAGCCCTTATAAAATACGGTGCTTGCATGCTTCACCCACTAAATTAAAATGGTAGGTTAGACTTCCTAATGCTTAATTAGCACTTTTGCTTATTAGATCATTAAAGATAGTGTAGCAGATTAGACTCATTAAGCTAGCTCTGAAGAACGCCCAAACAAATTAAGTTAAACATGATTAGAAAAATAGGCCTGAGATATGTCGCATACTTTTTAAAGGAACAAATTGAATAGGGATACAAGAGTCACTGAATTGTCAATTCCCTGCCTGGTCAGATTGAAAGCGAAGGAGTTTCGAATGTTGTAAACTCTATATTTCTGCTTAGGGCTGATTCTATGGTGGACGAGGTGCATAGCTCTCGACTGAAAGACCTATATATACACCAGAAAGAAGTGAAGCAGGTAAGTCCATCCTTGCGGTCAAGCCTCGAGTTTCATGACTATACATGGCGCCCGCCTTTGAGACATCGATGGCTGAAAAGCAAAGTGAAACTCTTTCTTGTTCTTATTTTTGGATGGATGCATGGCCAAGCTTGGTGTCTTTGGATTTGGACTACTTCCCTATATTCTTGTAGATTATATCCGATCCCCATTAAAAAAATTTAATTCTGGTCCATAGATCTGATCCATAGTTCCACCAATGGGCATTATGGCCATCTAAGTGCCTAAATCCCATTGTAACCTTTTGTTACATCAGCATATGTTTTTTATTTAGTCATTAGTTTGGACGCTTGAAAGGGCACAAGGTTCACACATAAGTTCGTGAACCAAGTCCATCAAAAAAATTTGCCATCCCATCGTCCCAAAATTATGGTCTTTTTTCCTTGGGTGTTGTCTTGTTTTGTGGGGGTTATGACATAACCTTGTATAGAGAATAACAATGGTTAAAACTTTGAATAAGCTTGGTTTTAAGTGAAATTGAATTATAACTCACTACTTCAACTGATTTGGAGTGTTTGTGAAAGTTTCTTTCTTCTTTCTTTCTCTCTCGCCCCTTTTTTCTTTGCTTGTAATCTTGTAAAAGGTTTTTTTTTTTGGGTGCCAAAGTAAAATTTTTTTTTTTTTGGGAGTCCTTTTTTTTTTTTAAGAAAAAAAGAAAAAAAGAAAAAAAGAAAAAGAAAAGAGAAACGGAGTACGTCATCATGGGTGAGACTATCATTTTCCTAGGGTTCATCATCATCCTAGTTAGTAGTTAGTCCAATTACGACGTGCATGCATGAGGACCTTCGCGTGCCCACTTCTAGTAAGATAATGAGCCATGCAACGTCACAACATAAGCAGTGCTGTATCAAACGTTTCGATGGCGTCGGGTTGGGAAAACGATTGATGCCCAGAGTCATTCACAAGAGACTAAACCAACATTTTAAAATCGCCTAATCGAATGAAATTGTACCTCATGGCACGTACCTGTACTTGTGTATATAATCAGAACCCTTACCAGCTGTGTGATTAGCTGTTAGCGTGAAATCAAGGGTTAATTACACATTTTGAAGAACTTCCATTCTCATTCACTAGCTTGAGAAATCAGCATGTCGGTCCGAGTGGGAAATTAAGTTGGCTTCAATCCAATTTTATCTTGTAGTAAGTTCCATGAATGCCATGATCGATTAATAATAGCATACTAGTGTGAATACCCGTGTCACGCACGATGCTGACATTATTGAAAAAAATAAAATGCTAATTAATTATTGTTCTCTTAAAACCTAAAAAGCTTGTACGTGTTAACACACTAGACTTTTCCATCAACATCCCGTTGCAAGTGTAAGTTAACTATATTATTATATATGGCGGCCCGAAGACCCTGCAGATCGATTACGGACAAACACAACCCTTAGAAACCAAACAGTTCCATTTTGAATAAATCAATCAAATAAATAAATAAATAAAAGTACATCTTGCCAGTCACTTGGAGCTAGCTAAGATCGACCGAATTCTTTTTTGACCACTTCCCATTGCAACAAAAGTTCGCCAGGGCTTCTTTAGTAATTTTAAGCAACAGCACCACACAAAACTCGGCCTGGAAAAGTATTTATTTAACTTCTGCAAAATAAAAAAGTCTTGGTTCACAGCACAGCAGGCCTTCACTACATTCATTCTTCCCTAAAAAAAAAAAAAAAAAAAAAAATCGTCTTCTCCAGCCCCCCTACATCAGCAGGCTACAACCTCTCTCTCCATCCCTCTTGTTTCTTTTCTCTGAATAGAGAAAATGGAAACTAATCAGCAGCCCGCTTCAGAAATCCCCAGCCCCGGGGGCAGGCTGGAGTGGGGGACAGTTCTGATCAAGAACACCAAGCTACGAGTCCAACCTTACAATCCAGGCTATACGAGTGCAATTTCTGCAAGAAAGGTTTCTCAAACGCTCAAGCACTGGGAGGCCACATGAACATCCACAGGAAAGATAAAGCGAAACTGAAACAAGCTTCAATGGAGAATCAGAGGTTGATTGATGCTCAAGGAATGCCTAATAATCCGTTGACTCCTTCGAGCACTAGTCCTGGAAATAACATAGGTAAGCCATTGGAGTTCACGTCATCTGCCCAAGTACTAATGAAAAGCAGCAGTCCCAAGTGCCACTCATCTTCTTTAGCGCCTGATCATCTTCGAGAAAATTATTCTTATGATCATAGCCACATGGCAGAGCTAAAACAGCTACCATTGTTTGTTGAAACAGCATCAAGTGTGGCTGTCGCGGAGTATTCGGGTCCAATTATACAAGCTAATTCCGGAAGCTGGCAAGAAGAGTTTATATCTGGCCAAGGATCTTTTGGTGCCGAGTTGGACCTTGAGCTTAGGCTTGGACATGAGCCTCCGAAATCAACGGTTGTTACGGGAACAAGAAAGTTCTTCTGATAATGATGTTAATCATGATAATCCTGATTACATGGTACTTGCCACTTTTCGATTATATACAAATTAAATATGTCCTTCCTGTGCTCCTTTCTCCTTTGGTTTCAGTGGTCCCTTTTTTAACTTGTTCCTGAAAACTAAAGGGAAAGGTTAATTTGATTATAGTTTGAGCTTTTGTTTTCCGTTTGGAACCCTGGTCCGCTGTGAAATTAGTTGGAGCTTGGCTATGTTGATTTATTCATTTTTCTTTCTTGATCATGGCTCAATCTTGTGGAATGACCAGATTTGCCTCCTCACATGCAGTGCTTGTGAAGATCGATGTTAATTAATCTGTGAAATAGTATTTCACGGCATGAACTATGAAAAATCATCAATTTTGATCTTTATTTTTTTTCTCAGTATAATCCTGTTGAAGTTTTCAGCAAGACCTAGTTCTGAATTATTCGCTAGACTGAAAAATTTTGGGTCACCGAAACGAGTACAAAAGATTCTATATTTCATTCTTCAGGGAAAAGAATGTTGTTTTAGTTTATTGATCATGTTGCAGAAATTAAGATTAAATAAAAAGATGCTAGCTTTTTAGCACCTATCAACATTTTTGTATCACCATCATTGTTATTCTCTTCCATTCATATATGTTTGAGACATAGTCTTGGCTTCATTAATTAGTCACCAATCATATGTTTCAATGCGACAGCGTAATCCTTTTAATCTTCAACTTTCGGCATCCTTCTTCTTTCTTAGCGGCCGGAGCCTTTCAACATAAGTAAGTGGTGGAAAACATATTTTTCACTGCATTAACTTCCTCTCTTTCTTTAGATCAAAGCATAACTCACGGAATGTGTATCAAAGATCGACAGAGTTTAGCTTTTCTTTTCTTAATCTTTTGAAAGCAAATTAGCTAAAAATATTCATCTGAGGTCAGGCAAACGTGTTTCGCTTTGGATCTTCAGGTAGGAACTCATTTAGATGAACAATACAAGTAAAGCGAGAAACTAGATCATGAAAAATCCTCAACATGCAGTAAAGATTTTCTTTCAAAACAATCATGGGCATTCTCTGTGCGTGTGTGTGTGAAAAATGTAGTGTGTTGTGTGTGATGACCAATGTGCACTAAAGTTGCAATGAAGCGTTGAAAAATGTAGTGTGTGGTGTGTGATGACCAATGTGCACTAAAGTTGCAATGCTGCAACGCTTCATTGCAACTCTGATGAATATTAGTGATCGTGGAGATGAATAAACAGCACATTTTCTCGTTAGAGCTAGAACGTCTTTTACAACTCGCATATAAGTTGGTTTTCTCTTCCTTTATTTCTGTGTAGGATTTTGCAAGGTAAACCTATTCAATAACTCATCCATGAGTCATGGCTTCAATTTACATGAACATGAGGTTTCAACTAGAAGTTTGTAATCATGAATTGATTCTCTAGCAGTTCAAATTGAATCCAAAATTCTGACCTTTTTTGTTGAAATCGTTCTCGGAGTGTACTTCACCTCGCAGTCAGTTAGAAAAACTCGTTTCTATTGATACAGGGTTTCTTTACTTTCTTTTCCATTCCCCCCCCCCCCTTTTTTACCAGATATATTATGCCTGCTTAACAAATTTTAACGACATTAACTTCTTGTGGATCCTCTGCAAGTAGTACGATACGCTTTTGTTTTACCTTCGATTAATTTCCGCACGTAAGGCTAATGTTTCAAGAGACATTGACAAAAGAAAAAAAAGGTTAAAATCTTTGCAGAAGTGATTCGCATTAATTCAGGGAATTATTTCATCCTCCACGCAGGCTCGGATCTGCACATTCGTAGTATTCGATCGTGATTCATACTCAACTTCACAACATTCCCTTCTTCTTCCAACCTGAGAAACAACCCCTAATTAATTAGTTTTAGATGAAATTAAGAAAAATAGTAACGCTACTGCAATAATGTGGAAACTTCTTAATTTTCAAGTACATCACCGTAAAAATGACCCCTTTTCTTGTATTTTTTTCAATCAGTTTGCATGTATGTACATGGACTAGACCTCGAGAGGGGGATGAATTAGGTGGTTGGGAGAAGGGAATGTAAGTGACAGTTTCCAACCCACTTACACTAAATTTTGTTTTTTTTTTTTTTTAAAATGGACTAGACTACTACTGGAATTAATACTAGCTCGTAGAAATAACTTTTTGGTAGTTATAAGCCTAATTAGATTCTTTTATTCAGGCAGATTTAAGCTATAGATTTGAAGAAAGATTAGTTAGTGTACATCGCAAACTCATAGTAACGTAATTATTTGATGAACATGGCAAAGTTTGGACAGTTCAATTGGTTTCGGGATATGACTTGCATTGATACCAAAGGGGCAACAACATACGGTTTTTTCCGATATCAAATGATCAATACCAAATGGAGAAAAATGAGAAAGAAATGAAATGCACAGAGAAGAAGACTTGAATAAATTTTGCTCACCCCGTCATGCATCTCCAATACTGGGGAGAGGACACGAATCATGTTGATGTGGGCAGCAGAATGATTCCCGGTTGATGAGCAAGCTGGCAAAAAACGCGGCCTCCTCCTGGTATAGGTTGTGGCTATAAGGTGCTGTCGTCCAATAATATCAGTAATTGTCTCAACGGAATAAAAGAAGAAGACATGAGGTATTTGGCATGGATCTTTTGTGGAAGGGATTCGGGTATTGAGAATGTAAAATGGCTTAGCAAACATCCAGGGCCTGAAGGTCTGGAGGGGCAGTCGGAGGATGCTGGGAGGGTAGATGGCCTCATAAACTTGGGCGGAGTAGCCCCATGAAATAGAGAAACTCCAGTTGTTTTGCTTGTGATAACAAATGGTTTGTTGGAGTAATCTGGACTCGTCAGCATTTGCAGCCTTCATTAGATGGTTCAGTGACTGGTTACGGGTCATGGAGGGGAAAATGGGGTCTACGACTTTCAGGTGGTGGAGGGAGACCAGAGGAGACTGTGGATGAGCTGATAACAGACCTGAGATGTCGCTGTGGAGGTCAATCTGATTTAATTCAATGGTATCAGCACCAGCATAAGGTGAGTTATTGTGCTATGCGCTTTCTGAAAATTTTCTAACAGAATTATTTTTATATCAATTTAAACATGGCCAAACACAAATTGCAATTAGCATCCGCCATTTATTCAATACTAACAAAGACCGCAATTCAGCTCAAATAACATTCATAGTAAATTCTAAGCATTTTGTAATTCCTGGAAGTAAAAGAATACTTCAACAGTCTTCTAGCTTGCTAGTCTAATTACCTGATGAAACCCTTTTCCTGAGTGAGAGAGACTCCTAAATCAGCCACACAGGACTGTACGATGTGGTCACTGCCATATAGACTTGGATACCTCCTGATACACACATCCAAGTTCTTAGCCAAAGCCCTTGCAAGAGGTAACTCAAAGCATATCCAGCTCCACCAAATGCCATCTCAAACGAGTGAAAATAATTGGATGCATGACATTCTGAATTCATCCCAACATAGAAGTACTTGTTGTAATCATACCTCGAAAGAACCTCAACCAAATTGTTGATAAATATGACAGTGTCATCATCAGCTATAACATACCACCTCACATCCTCATCATTTTGATCTTCCTCGTTAATAATCTCTCTGATTATCTCCGGGCCAATCTGATCGCGTGAGTCATTTCATGCTTGTCGTAATCTTTGTATCTGGAAGTGTTTTCTGAAATCCGAAAGGGAGGAGAAGAAGCAGGCCATGGAATCAAATCAACTGGGAATGTATCCAGAAACACGAATCCTCGGGTACATTTGGCCGCCACCAGGATTCAATGAACCATCTCTTGTTCCTCCATGAGTTCGAAGTGCTCGCTATTCCAAAAACAATATGACTAATGCTAGTAGCACTATTAGTACCGGTACCAGAAGAGTATGAGCTCTCTAAATTACCGACGACTGTTGGCCTCAAGTGAGTTAAAACTGAGAATGAATAGCAACAATGAAAACCAGGCCAAAGATTATACATGATATACAGGACCAACCCGGAAATGACCACTAACTTGTACAACTTTTTAGCCACCCCATTAGAAAATTGCGCGACATTTTGTTGACTCCTGATCAGTTCTGTGGAATTGGTTTGGGACACCAGATTATACCTCCTGAGAAGCGACATAAATAGGATAAAAATGGGCTGAAATTTACTTGTTTTCGTATCGCTTGAATTCTTCACGCTCGTTTGTATTGGCTATTATCCTCAGGAATTGGCTTCAGTTCAACAGCTACTATAATTTTGTTAAAATTGGCAAATGAATAAAAAAAGAGATTAAAACTCCCAACTCGCCATAGATCTGTAGAGTCTAGAAGGTTGAGAGAGAAGAGAACCCGTCAGACGGCAGTATTACTTTACTACTGCCATTAGGAAACGCTCTGCATGTATAAAACTGACCAGTGCTAGAGCTAAAACTGATCAATTGGGACGCATTCAAACATGAGAAAGCAAATGGTGCAGGTATCTTTTTTCTTTCCTGAGTAAGAGTAGCTGGAAATGCGTGAAATGAGACGAGAGAAGTCGTGATGCCAATCTTTACACTGATCATGGCTCGTGTTTATCATCTTGCATTCACCCATTTGCACGGCGCAAACACGCCTTTTTACTCTTTCAGATCGATGCTTTTAATTTGTCTGTTGTCATTACGCGGACGGGACAATTTGTAAATAAAGTGTCGCAGTTGACAGCGTTGCTTCTCCTCCTCCCTTTTTGGCTTTCTTTCTTTCTTTTTCGGGTTAGTCGTTTTATATGAGCTGTGAGCTACGGATTGGATGAGTGATATCTGTACATTGGGCATATGGTCCAAATTAAGATGGAACAAATGAATAGAATTCTAAGCACGTTGTACTATGTACAAAATTGTCTTGTTTCTACGATCAACCAATCTAGATACATAGTCTAGTCTTGTTTATCTACGTGAATAGGTGTTATCACCTGTCATTTTCTCGGTCAATTCAATTAATTCCTCCTAGGCTGGTAGAACTTAGAATTTCACAAGCAATCAACTAATTTCGTTCATGCAAATTCTTTATAGCACTTTACTCCAAAAAATAACAAATTCAACTTTACCAACAAGGAGGAGTTTATGGGTCTTGTCCAAAATTTGCCATTCCATT